CATATTATAATATCGACTGAGATAAAGAAGAAAATGAAATATTAAAATCATGATGTATCTCGCTGCATTGCACGAGTACGCTTCTAGTTCTATCTAATTGGAATATTAATTGCACATTATTAATATTAAATCCGGATTAAACCTAAATTCTAAAAGGGCCTGTATGTCTAACCATAACCAACTCATTAAAATTATTTGTTGGGCCGACCTCAATTCACGAGCCTGCATTTGCAATCTGCAATGCATAAAGGTTTTCTGCCCTATCTTGTTTTTCTTTTCAACCCTACCGTCGGTGATTGTAGACTCCCGTCTGATCCTAACAAAAGAGTTGTTGCTCTATTCTCTTATATCTTAGAATTCGTACAAATAATTGTCGGGTGACACCGCGGCTTGGGTCGCGTGTGGAACCGCACCGCCCTATGTGTGTCACCACCAACCAAATATCTCCTCAATCAATCAAGAGACCCCAAGGCCCTCTTGACATTTAATATGTCTTGAGCCCAACTAGATGATTAGGCAATTTGATAGGAGATAGAGGCTTGGTAATATAAGACACTTTGTTTTGGAATTTGGTCTATGTGGGACAAAACCAAATACCCAACAATACCCCACATTTGAATAGAAAATAAGCTAACTCAAGGTTCTTATTGTTCTATATTGATGAAACAAACATGACATGCTACGAAAAAGGTGTCTTTGTGACTTGAACCGTTTGTTGTGAATATTCATCCGACCTACTTTGTGGGATCTCCAATGTTGCTAGGTTAGGTTTCTGTTGAGTAATAACTCATTGAATTGGCTTTAAGCCCATTCCCCTTGATGTATAAGAAACTTGCTCTCTACCTAGGCCTTTTGTCAAAGGATCTGCGATATTTTCCTTTGACTTTACATAGTCGATGGATATGATTCTATTCTTAAGCAAGTCTCTAATCGTCTTGTGGCGACGTCTAATGTGTCTAGATTTGTCGTTATAAATTTGACTTTTTGCTCTTGTGAGTGCAGCCATACTATCACAATGTATGCATACGGCAGTGACAGGTTTTGGCCACAAGGGAATTCCTTCTAGGAAGCTTTTAAGCCATTCTACTTCTTCAGCAGTCTTATCCAAGGCTACGAATTCTGCTTCCATGGTAGACCGTGTGTTACTGGTTTGCTTTGATGATTTCCAAGATATGGCTGCCCCACCAAGTGTAAATACATAGCCACTTATGGATTTGCTTTCATAATGAGTGGAAATCCAATTCACATCATAGTATCCTTCTAATACGGGAGGGTACTTCGTATAATGTAACTCATAAGTCATTGTGTATTTTAGATAACGAAACACTCTTATCAATGCATACCAATGATCTTTACTCGGGTTGTGTGAGTATCGGCTTAATCTGCTCACACTGTATGACAAATCCGGTCTTGTACAATTCATTATGTACATCAGGCTCCCAAGGACTTGAGTGTATTCCAGTTGAGAGACACTATCTCCTTGATTCTTCTTTAGTTGGCTAGAAGGATCGAAAGGAGTTACTACCGGTCTATCGTCATAGTGACCAAATTTCCTCAATACTTTCTCAATATAATGTGATTGAGTAAGTATGTAATTGTTTGAATCCCTTTGGATCTTTATACCAAGTATCACGTCTGCTACTCCCATATCTTTCATATCAAATGAGGAGGGCAACATCCATTTGGTTTTATTGATCACATTTAAGTTTGTCCCCATGATTAGCATATCGTCTCCATATAGGCATATTATAACACATGCATTCTTGCATTGTTTCACATAGACACATGTTGATCCTCTCTCTCAGTGATTTGATGATAATCCATTTTCACTTGTACGTTGTATTTATGTTTCTGTCTTTTCAGTTCCACCCATTATCACTGAGTCTGTTCAGTGATTGCTGAACAACTTGTATTGTAATTCAATCAGAGACATCGATACTTCAAGAAGACAACACTCACACCAAAGAACCTTCAGCCAAAGTTGAAGACTGAAACTGAAGATTAGAGACTGGCGAGTACGTGATCTGAAGCGGTACTCAGTGATTACAAGCCTGTCTACATATGTGTGAAGACTGCTCAAGCCTCAGCGAATACTGAAGAGACCTCTAGGTTATTCCAACATTCAACGATCAAAGGAAGCTTGCTAAGCCGATTGTTGTTGTCTTGTCCTTATGCACACAAAGGACAAACCCATACCATTTCTAATTGTTAGTACGGTACGGAGCCGACTAGTTGACTAATTACCCACCAACTTTAGGTAAAGATGTCTGCTCATGAATAGGCTTTTTGTACTATTCACTGTAGCAAAGGACAAGCCTTCCTCTTAAGGTTGACAACCACTCTAACCCTACCATATTGCATTAAATGAACATTTAACGCATTGGGTATAAATAGAAGTGTTTATTCTTCATGCAGAGTGAACGCACAACACACTCTCTTAACCTAATTCTTACTTTGAGCATTCTAGAGCTTAAGTAAAAAAACTTTTCTTTATAGCATTTCTTTTCTCATTTGCTAAGATTCTGTGTGTAACCAATGATTGTTTGGATAGGTTTTCTTACCTTATCTTTCCGCAAATAGTCTTATAAAATTTGTATTGATCTCCTTTTATCAATATACATTTTAAATTTGAAAATACTGTGTTTGTATTCATCTCCCCCCTCCCCCCTTCTACAAACTG